AATCCAAGCTCATTATTCTAAGTATTGGCCCCAAAGCATTATGTATGTCAAGCCGGTCACCTGTGTATTAAATAGGTGATACTCTCTATTTGTGTTGTGACACCAAGATCTTTATGTGGATTGATGGGCAAAATTGTATAGGGTATTCATCGGACAGCACAAAGAAGCAGTAAGATGTCCTGTCAGTCACCCAGGCCATATGCAGGACAACTTAAGCAGCAGCATTAACATGTATGCACGCTCAATTCTTAGGCAAGTCAGGGCCCTCCTCCTCAACTCAAAAACTGCAAATGTGCTCTCAATACTGAAAACATCTTGGGAGGGCTGAGAGGGAGGGGTAGTGGGGGAGGGGGGGTGCTGGAGTGTGTGCGTGGGGTACTTTCATCTACCTCTGGAAGCCGAAGATTCTCAGGGGCTCAAGGTGAAGAACTTTTACCCAAAGGAAACACTGATGTTTTTTATTCCAATTTCTTTGTCTAAAGATTAAATTTTTGAAATCAAAGTCACAATTGGTCTTCCCAACTCAAATGTATGATTTTGAAAGACCATTACATTAAAAAAATGTAAGAAAGGCCACCTGGAATGTCATGAGGGCCAGGAAGCTTAACTAAAACACTGCAGAGTGTATGACATGAGGAAGAGGGCTCCTTAAAAACAAACGCACAAGTCCACTGATTTGGTACCTGATGGTATCAAATAATTCTGGATTTCTAGAAACTGAATTAAAGGAATTTTCTTTTTAATTTCATTAAGAGGGAAATGTGGAAGATGAAGCAAGGACTATAATTTCTAAATAATTCCCTTGAAATTAAAAAAAAAGTCAAGTAGCCAGGTAGTCAAAGCTTGGCCACAAACAACAGATTTTTCTTTTCAAATATCCACATTCTCATAGATATGAATATATGTATTTTTCACACAGATTTGTTTTTGAGTCAGGGTCTTACTTTGTAGCCTGGCCTGGCACTCACTACGTGCTTCAGGATAGCTTTAAACTTGTGGAAATCCTCCTGCCTCAACCTTCCAAGTGCTGAGATTATAGATGGGACCCACTACGCCTGATCTCCCATTCTGTATTTTAACCCCAGTAAGCCTACTGACCATAAATAAAATGTTCTTGAAATGTTGTAAAAATTAAAAAAATATATAAATACCAAAGCATGCTTATTACCATGGTATCAAAAAAGAAGAAAAGGAATGGAGTCTTAGATTACTCACTAGAGTACTTTAATAAGGCAACATTGGCATATAGTACCATTTCCCAGAAAGTATTTCTTAGGACAGGTCCTCAACATGAGAGAGAAGGGCTGGTAAACACTGTTTCCTATAGTTACAGAAGCCCCCCTGCCCCCAATCCCCTAACCCCAACAAGCAGACAGGAAGAAATGCTTCTTTAATTTTGTTTCACCAGTACAGAATACAAAGTCCAATCTGTTTAAATATCTTTTCTACTGAATGCCATTAAAATTCGTCATGTAGCCGACTATTACTGAGGCCATACACATTTCACAAAAGGTGACTTTCTGTGTAAAATACTGGGTCACTATAATTTAATCTGATGGTAGTTAAGAGTGATTTACTGAAGGATATTATCTTATGGATCTCATGTGGGTTTAAATTGGCTGTGAAAAAATAAATAAATAAATATGAATTAAAAAGGTAGTTTCTGTGTTTCAGATTTAAGTCAGTGCCAACAGTTTTGTACTGGCTAGTTACACACCAGCAAACTGCTAAGGAAAGAACACACTTTACCTTTCGGAGAAGTCATTGCTTTGTATCACCTACCATTCTGGCCAAGCTTTGATTACATATACTATATATAATACATATATAGTTTATATATATTTATATACACACATATTCATGTATTTTTATTTTTACTTTATTTTAGCACAGCCTGTGTGTGTGTGTGTGTGTGTGTGTGTGTGTGAACCAATGAAGTTTAATTAAGGTTATTTACAGGAGTCTGGGTAAGTGGTCATTTACAAAAGCATAAGAATGTACTAGGAGTTACACCACTGAAGAAAATGTCTCTCCCTCCCCCAGCAGCCCTTAACTGCTTACAGATCCTCAGGGAGGGGTGATATCTTGGGACTCCCCTCCCCTCTCCATGATGGAATACTGATAAGCTTAATATTGTGCAGGTGTCTTGTAGGTAATCACAGCTACTGAGAGTTCAAGAGAACTCTGGCCATGTCACACCCTGTAGACAGCTCTCCACAACAATGGACCCTTTCTTCCAGGTCTCACATTCTTTCTACCCCCTCTTCTGCACTATTCCCTGAGACTTAGAAGGGATGGTACAGGTCTGGAGAGATGGCTCAGCAGTTAAGAACACTGGTTGTTCTTGCAGAAGACCTGGGTTCAAATCTCAGCACCCACATGGCAGCTAACAACTGTCTTAACTCCAGTTCCACGGGATCCAATAGCCTCTTCTGTCCTCCACGGGCACTGCATGACATAGGTGCACTTACCTACATGTAGGCAATACATGCATACACATAAAATAAAAATAATAAATAAAATATTTTTAAAAAGGGCTGGTACAGATGTCCCATTTAGAGCTAAGTTTTCAATAGCACCTTGTTTTCAGCACTTAGACCAATTATGAATCCCTATAGTAACTGCTGCCCACTGCAAGAAGCTTCTCTGACCAAAATGGAAAATAGCACTAATCTATGGGCAAACACATCAACAATCTGATAGGTACATCATGACCATTTAGCAAACAGCAGCAGCAGCAGCAGCTTCTCTACTAGGGCCTGTGATCTCTCCACCCATGGGCTTTTGACTCACTTTACAGTACCAGATGTGAATTCCTTTCTCTGAAGCAGGCCTCAAGTCCAATCAGAAACCAGCTGCTTACTCCCAGAACAGTCTTGTCACTTATTATGCTAGTGGCACATTTTGCCAGGCAGGTCATTACATACAGGGTTCACGGCTGAGTAAGACTACTGTTGACAATATTTCCCCAAAAGCACCTGCTAGTACTGTGAGGGCTGGCCAGCCACTCTGAGGGCTAGTGAGCCACTCTGAGGGTTAGCCAGACACTCTGAGGGCTAGCCAGCAGGGAGGAAGCTTGTAGTTCAGTTCTAGTTTGATTTCTCTAAGTACTGTGGTGGTTTTATATTAAATAATTCTCTGTCATAGTTTTTCTTCTATACATACTAGGTAATATGGTTTTTAATTTGAAGTTGGACTATACAATTTGTAGCCTCTGATAGATGTAGCAAAGTTTTATATTAAAATGTCAATCCAGAGAATGATTGATTATACTGATTTCATATAACCATGTAGCTAGAGCAAATTATTGGTCTCCCCTCCATTGGTACAATTTCCAGTAGGAAAAAAGTTAGTTATAATGAGAAAGTATCACTGCATAGGAAAAAATTGGGGGAGGGGACAGAATTTACATATGAGTATATATTTATTCAAATTACACACACATAATTAAGCAACAAGTATATGAATGATTCTTTATAGCAAAATCATATCTCAAATAGTTAAAAAAAAAAAACCCTGTGGATGAAGTATGCACACACAGTACAGTGTTATCTCGTTATCCCTAGGTGTTAAAGAGCTTGGTTCTGGCACCCTTAATACAGACTGACCTCTCCTGACACTCATGTCCCTCACACAAGGTGGCCTATTAGTATACAACTTATGCACATTTCCCATAGGCATCTCTATTGCAGACATCACAGTACATAATGCAACATAAGTATAATCATACTGTTTAGTGAATAAAAAGATCTACAGAAGTGAGGTTACATATGCAAATTTTTCCCTCCACCCATGGATGGATGGATGGATGGAAGGCCACCTGTGTCAGATTTATAAAGGGATTCTCAACAAACTAAACTGATGATAATGTACTTGTAATAGCAATTTAAAAGAAAATATAGTGAGAATATAAAAACCACAGTCAACTCTGGGATGATTACATTGTTACAACTGTGACTTTACAGGCTAGTATTCAGATGCTTACTGAGGCCCTAGCAGCCCTACACGGAGTTGCATGACAGCCAATTTTCTTAAAATTCAAGAGTGATCAACAAATTCTACAAAGGCAATAAATGCTGCCCATTTGTAGAAAAGTTTAATGATTCTTAGTAATTTACCAGGGTATAGTGGACTGCCATGATCTGCACTCAAAATGATAATCTAAATCTATATGTTACTGTCCCTAAGAAAGGCAGTCATTATTATTTTTGGATTTTGGAGATAGTCTTGTTATATAACCCAAGCTGTCTTGAACTCAGGATCTTCCTGCCTCAGCCTCCTGAATGTTGGGATTACAGGTGTGCACCAACATGCCCACTAGAATGGTAGTCTTGAATCAGTTTGTAGTCCCTTACAGCTGGCCTGCAAGAGGAGTCCTGCTTCCTTTTAAAATGCTGATTCTAAACTGGGTGTGGTGGCACATGCCTTTAATCCCAGCACTGGGGAAGCAGAGGCAGGTGGATATCTGTGACATTGAGGCCAGCCTGATCTACATGGCAAGTGCCAGGCCAGCTGTGTTTATAGGGAACCCCTGTCTCAAAAAACAAAATAAAATGCTGATTCTAGAGAGCACTATGGATTAGTAGTCACATGATTATTATTATTTTTTTTTTCTTTGAGACAGGGTCTCACTATGTAGCTCTGGCCTGGAACTCACTGGGTAGACCAGGCTGGCCTGGAACCCACAGAGATTTGCCTGCCTCTGCCTCCTGAGTGCTAGGATTAAGGGTGTGTGTCACCATGCCCAACATGATTACTTCTTTGATCCCACTGAACTGATGTTTGATTTGGAACATACTAGCATCTTCTGTCATGTAATAAAATAGGGATCATGATGGTTATTCTTTAACTATGACATGGAATATCAGAACTGACCAATGCAGGATTAGGATGTACCTGTCTGTCAAGAGAAAAGTAAACTCACTAGAATATTCTTTTGCTAACATATGCAGAATCACAATGATGTCTAGGTAAAGACCCTCCCAGAGAAGCATGATTACCGTGTGATGCAGTCTTCTGCCTGCTTTTCATTGTTCATCCTGTGATACAGCACAGCAGCCACGGCCAGGGGGCCTGCATCCCCACACAGGAAGGTGATGGAACGCTTGCTCAAACAGTTCAGACTTTGCTTTACATAGCCGTGTGCCATCTGCAGGTAGGCAGGATCCCCAAACACATCATAGAGATGTAGGTAAAGCACAGCAATGCCTGGAAAGCAAGCAGGAAACAAGTTAAGATGATTACAGCGCCATTGATTTACTATGGTGGTGTGTTGCTTACTCAGCTGGGCTGAGTTTTGATAAGCTACAGGAAATATGTGAAGTATCTGCAAGTTCAGGTAACTTTTGTTCTAGGATTAGCTCTATTTATTGCTAAGCAGCTCTAGAAATAAGGCAGAGGCAATCACCTATTTGTCTTCAGCTTTGTGTATTCTAGGAAAGTGTTCTACCATTGAGCTACATCACCAGTCCAATGTGCTGTTTGTGATGGCTAAATGTTATTAAACTATGACCACAGTAAATAGTCATCTATTTAATGGACAACTAATAATGAACAAAAAATGTTTTGTCCTAACAAAGCAGGAGTTGAGGAATGAAAAACTCAACCTCTCTTTAAACAAAAGATAGCATTTTTGTGTGAGAAGGTACTTTGTCTCGCCAAATTCTACATCCTGGCATCCTTGCAGGCAGGGATTACAAACTTTAACATCTGAGAAAATACATTCAACTCCTTTCTAATTTTCTTCCTCTTTCAAGGACTTGCTACTTTGGTTACTGTAATGCTAAAGCTGTTGGTGTTATTTACTGTGGTCCCCACTTGCCTTGCCACTTGTCCTCCCCTAAGCCTGCTGAATAACTGAGGCAGTGTGTGCACGTCATTATTCCAAGTGCTTGTCACAGGAGGCAGAGGCCCCTCTTCAGCTCATCTCGTCTCGGAGCAGTTAGAGATGTGGGGTAGGGAGCCTGCCGCCCGCAGCACTTCCAGAAATTCTCCTTCCCCTGTAAAGTACACTTTCCATCTCATTTGCCACTTTTAGAAGATACAGAGCCTCTGTTTAAATCTAAATTAACAGTCAATCTCTTCATGGATTTCAATGCAGTAAAAATGCAGTCTGCAGAATTACTTTTCACTGTACTGAGGACAATTTTAAATTTAGATAGTTTTCTCATTTTGCATGGGTAATCTCCAAAGCTTTGTGCTACAGACAATTCAATTTCACATGTATATTAAGGCCAAATTTTCATTTTCTGCCAAAGTTAATAACCTTGTCTGCTCTTTCAAAGTGGCTTGGTGTTAGTAATTCCACAAGCTGACGAACAGATGTACTGATGCTTAAGGTTTGTAGACAAGTGTACAAAACCATGCATGTGGGGAGGAAAAAAGATCTCCTTTTCACAAATGATCAATGTCAAGAGCCTCTTCCAGAATTAGGTCCTTAATAGGCTTCATCGCCACCCATGTCACACATCTGCTGGCAATCCACTTAAATTGTTACCCTTTCATTTTGCCTTCCTGGTCCCACTGTGGCCTGAACGCCTCTAATTAAGTTATGCAAGCACCAAAGCCAGATAATGACATGACCGACATCTGAGAAAATAAAAAGTGATTAAATACAAGCCCAATGACTGTTTTCCTTTTCAGACCTTTGTCACTCATGATCAACAATTCTTTTTAGTTCAAACAGTTAACAAACAAAAACCTATTAAGCTTCACAATGATAAGATCTGATGCTTTTCTCATGAAAATCAGGTAATTGTTTCTCAAGACTCAAACAATTCTACTTACTCTTTGATCAGCAGAGAATTATTCCCCTATCTTCTTGGATTATAGGCCCTGGGTTCCACTTCTCTCCTCCTGTTCTGGGCCTCAGTGTCATATTTTGATTGAGCAATCCGTGGCAGGTTGCAGTAGCCGTGTCTACCTACCTTCCTGTCACAAAGCACCCACAACCTGGAAGGACTTTTCTCAGCCCTACTTACAAACCAGCTCAGCTTGGGACAGTACAAGAAGACCCCGAAATCACAGACATTTGATGTCCTATTAACATTTGAAAAGCCTAGTGCTAGAAAAAATGGGGAAATGAACTACACGTGGCCAAATGCCTTGAGTTTGATCCTCAAAGATGCCCCAGCTCTTGACAGTTCTCAGGCATCACATCACCTGTACATAAATATCAGCCTGAAAAATGCAAGACAAAGTGGGAAACCAAGGCACAACCTACATCCAGGCTCCAGCCAATGCTTTAAAAAACTCACTGAAATGTAATTTTTACCAAAGGATACATGGCATTTATAGAAAAAGTCGTAGTACCATAGGCTTGAACATATGAAACTCTAGCCCCCTGCCTTCCAGAGGTAGCTGCCATTTTTGTCCACTATCTGCCTCCAAATTGCTAACAAAATGTGCCTATGTGTCCTTTGTTAATTTTTCTCCTTTGGACATTTTTGGACTATGAAGACTTGCCTCTTAGGACAGAGAGACATGTAGGTGGTTCTCTAAATGTTTCCCCTCAACAATCATACCCTAGATTTGAACTGGGCATGTGGTAGAATAACTCTTTGCAGTAAGGTATGGCCCACGGCCAGGCTCTGAGCAATGGGATGTAGTAGAAGTATAGAGATGACTCTGGAAATGTTCTTAAAGGGAAGGGCTTGTCATTCCTTCTCCTTTCTGCTTTCTTCATGTTTAGAGCACAGAGGTGATGGTATGACTAGAGCACTGACTTTAGACTATGAGGAAGTTCTGCCATGATGCTGGTGATGCAGCCTGGTTCCCAGAGACCTGAAAAATCTATCATACCAGATCGATCTTATGTTGCCTACTTACATAAGAAAAATAAACTTCTATCTTACGAAAGCCAATGTTATTTTAAGTGTACTGTCACATACTGGTAAGACCAATCCTAAAGAATAGAGTTCTTTTCAAAGCTAGAGAGGTCATGATGCTTTATCATATACTTGATGATAGTTGACAATTTTGGTTTCTTTTGAAATGTACCATTTTAAGCATGGGAACAGCAAGTGGCATTTTAACAATTTTAACTGTCTTTTAACAGCTGGAACAGTGGACACAAGAGTTAGGAGGATGCTAGAAGAGTAGGGGTGAGACACAGGGCAAGGGGGTAGACAGAGACAGTGAGAATGAACCTGCTGGAACATAAAATCAACAGAGCCCGGTGGGGGATGAATGACAGGCAGATGCTATGATAGCTCCTGAATGCCAAGCTCCATAGCTGGGTGGGCAGAGGTACCACCCACTGATGTGGCAGCACACGGCAGACACCAGGTTCTCAAGGGAAGATCATCCTACTCCATTCTAGTCTTTAGAGGACACTTAGTATGAGGAAAAAACCAACAGTAACAAATGCAACTGGACAACAGGTTTGACACAGTAACACACTGAGTCAGCTTTTCAGTATTTCTTCTTTTTACTCACAAAACATGCTACTTCTTTAAACTATGACAAAGGACACTGTTTTTGTTATGTGTCTTCTTAGGTTTACATTTGAACACCATAAAAAATGTCCTTGTATCCTATTTGTTAAGCAAAAACTAGAACAACAGACGTATGCTTCCTTATTCTAACTTTTATTTTCACTTTATCGTCCATACCAGAAAAAAATTTAAGATTTAAATTTTGACTATATTTAATCATTAAAATAAGCTCTAATATTTATTATATTTTAGAATTATTTTACTTTAAAATATAAAAGGCTCCCTTTTGTGAACCTGGATAAATTTTAACATTTATTAACATTATTTTTTTAATCTTTAAAATTTTTTTTTAAACTAAACATTTTATGGGACTGGAAAGATGGCTCAGGGGTTAAGAGCACTGTCTGCTCTTACAGAGAGCCTGGGTTTGGTTCCCAGCACCCACATGGCAGCCCACAACCAGTTTTAAGAGATCTGATGTCTTCTTCTGGCCTCCATGGGCACATATGAAATGCGTGTAGTGGAGGTCAAAGGACAATCTGTAGGATTCCGTTCTCTCCTTCCACCATGCAGATCCTAGTGTATTAGTCACTTTCCTGTTGCTGTGATAAAATCCATGACCAAAGGCAATGTAAGGGATAGTTTACTTTGGCTTATGGTTCCAGATAAGAAAGAGTCCATCATGGCCTGCAGGGAACCAGGCACGGCAGTGGGAACAGAAAGGGGAGAGGTCACATCTCCAACAGCAAACATGAGCAGAGAGAACTGGAAGTGGGGTGAGGCTGCAAGCTCTCAAAGCCTACCCCAGGCTGCACCCCTAAAGGTTCCAAGACCCTCTCCAAACAGTGCTACCAACTGGGGACAAAGTGTTCAAATAGTTGAGCCTGTGGGGACATTTCTCATTCAAATCACCACATCCAGGGATTGAACTCAAGTTGTCAGGCTTTGTGGCAAGCATCTCTGCCCACTGAGCCATCTCACTGGCCCAACATTAACATAAATTTAGTTTAAATATTATTCTGTTTCTTATCTTAGTTGGTCTACTCCATGAAAATTAGCTTAATTAAACTATGTAAGTTAAGGTCTTTGCCTCTGAATTCTACTATTTTGTCAGATTTGCTCACAGACTTAAACATGTAGGCATGCTTTAGGAGAAAGTAGTCCATGAGGAGAGAGAGATGCCGAGAATAAAGAAAAATCTAATTAGTGTCTCTCCATGACTCTTACAGTCACTGAAGGTGATCAGTATTTGAGAAACCATCTTAATTCTGTGTTAACTGAAGTCATCAGTAGTTCCCAGTACACTTTAGGAGCAGCTGGACTAAACAAGCCAAGAATTGCCTTTCACTGAAACAAAGTGAACAAACTTGCCACCTTCTTTGCAGTCTGGGAGGCCAGAACAAACCCAGGCACATATCACTTTGCCCTTAGCTCACCTGAAGCCTGCCTGTCTGCCTGCCTGTTCTGGAACTGCCACAGCCTCTGATCAACACCCGTAGAAACTTGAGTTCATCAAAAAGAAGACAAGCTTAAAATTGAGTTTTGCAGTCACCCTGGCCATATTTGAAATGCTCAAAAGCCACATGTAGCTAGTGGCTGGTGCAGTAGCAGCAGAGTGTGATTTCTAAATATTCTACAGGTCTGCTCTGAAGACCAGAGATAACTCCCTTTGTGTAAGATGTTCAGAAATTTAGAACTGCCTCAACTCATACTAGAATCTTATGGATTTGAAATGTCGGTAACTTACTTGAAAGAAAAAAATACACTGTGAGG